TTTTATGTTGACAAGTTTGCATTATTGGTAGCAATGTTAACATGTCAGTTCACGTTTTAGACAGGACTCGCTTTTTCTCTTTATTACTCTCTTAGTATCTATTAAAAATATACACAAGGTGATTTTTTTTAACCCGAAACTTCCAAATATCTCGGAAAATAAACACTCTGCGAAAAAATGTCCAGAAAAAAAATCAAGCCGCGGGAGAAATACATTAGTGCTAAAATTAGCCCCTTCCCCTTCTCCTTGTAGGTGGGGCAGGGGTTAACTTCTAAACCTTAAATGGGAACTGCTATTTTTAATTGCAGATTCGGAGTTTGTGGCTAAAAGTACGTATGATTTGCCTGAAACATTTTTTTCAATTCGTGATAGATGGCGCTGAATGGATGAAATTCAAATTTTTCCGATTTGTTCTACTGCGAACTTATGCATACGATTCGGCAACACGTTGGCAATAAAAAATACCACGTTTTATGTAAATACTCGAAATTCGTTGTCAAAATGAAATCTGGCGAACTAAGATTTGGTAATCTGTCAGGCCAATTTACCGGACCAGCTCTACCGATCCAGTGACTATTGAAATCAGGATCAAGTACTTCACGTCCTACCATCGACTAGTGTGCTGGACAACCAGCATGTTGAAACCACATGTTGTGTCGCACTTCTAACCTCAAGTTTTTTAGTAATGCTGGCAGTTCATTTTCCAAAATGTCTCGGTACATTTCACCATTCAAGTTGCTTTCAATAATGTGGCGACTCATTTTTGATTATTTACAATGAAAATGTGGTATTTTTTACTACAGAATTGTATGCAAGAAGGTAATAGGAGAAATAAAAAAAAAATTCGTTTATTACAGCGTCAATTAAATTATTAAATTTTGAATCTGGATATTTTTTTTAGAGGGCTTATTTTTCGAGATATTTGAAAGTTTAAAAAAAAACACCCTGTATTTTGAACTACTATTTGGAACTGAGAAGAAATGTGTCAATTTTGACATGTGTAAGGAATACCAGTCATAATACTACCGTATTTTTGACTTTCCGGGAGAATTAGATTCGCCGTTTTTAAGAAAATAAAAGTATTTTACTGAAGCATCAGTAAAACCGTATATTCTACTATTGGTATCCAGTCAAAATGTAGAAGACGTGTAAAGAAATAAATTATTAAGCTATATCTAGGAATCAAACGTAAAAAAAAACATAAATTTAGACATCTATCCTTATGACTTAACCATTTATTGGCGAATAAAATTGACTCACATTTTAATCCATCTAAATTAGTAGACTGACGATGACAGAAAATGGATAATTTTGTTTAACATGACTGCGCAATTTGACGGTACCTGTAATATTTTTGGTAATATTTTATGTACACAGATAATTTAGTTGTTAACCATTGTATTAAGTTAATTATATTGGTACACGCTATTGTAGAGCACCGTCAAACAAGGTGACGTGGAATGCAAAATATTTGTCCAGTTCTTAAACTTGTGTATTTAGATTTTTATCACCTTTTGACACATTATAAATTCATTTAGAGACGACTATGTATAATACATTAACCACACCAAACTGAAATTTAGTTTCACGTGTTGCTTCAAGATTAACTGAACTTCAAATTGTGTTGTTTTGATAACAACAAGTATTTGTGAACATAAATTCGAGTGCAGTCGGTAGCAAAACACGTACTTATCAGCTATCATGGCCGAACCTGAGGAATGTCCCCAAGAAAATGAAACCACTGAGTCTACGGAAGAAACCCCTAACGAACAGGAAAAAGAAAATCCTGAGGAAGGTGAAAAAAGTTCGGACAAACCAGCAGCACCCTTCGAATGTAGAATGTTTGTGGACGTGCCTGACAGAAATAACGTGGGCTTAGATGGACAGGAAGAAGAAGAATTCAACTAAATTTGTACATATTTGATGTGCCTATTATAACTAATGTATGTATGAACCTACAACAATGTTAATTTATTAAATAAAATTAATTAATGAAGAGTGTTATCGTTGTTGCGCGTCTAGAATCACGATGGACTTTTAATTGTTGCTCGCTTTTCTTCGTAAAAATCGTGAATGAAAGTAAACACGATTCCTAATTACGGCAGTTCAGTATGCATGTCAAAACGATTCCTGTTGGGTACGTACAATGAAAATTAAAAACGTATTCGATATGCTAATGTCTTATGGAAGAAAGTAAACGACCGTGTGTGTTTAAACTGTTACAAAATTTAATTGTTAATAACTTAACTTAAAAATAATTGCGAATGTAGCAGAGCGTAAAGTCCGTAAGCGGTGACATATTATGTTATCTATAAAGTAGATCTCGTAGGAATGAAAGATAAAAATTCCACTTTCAAGCAATGTGAATTTTTTTTAGTGTGGAGGAAGCGACGCATGAGGCCGCTACATTGGCGATAGTTAAAGTACTAATAATTGATCGAATTAAGTTTGACACAGTTCATAAAATCTTACATAACCTCGAGCAATTTATCATTCCTAAACTTTCCTTTGCACTTTACTGCATTTTTGAAATTTTTTTCTCAAGATTCATTTTTTTGAGTCTGATACATAATTTTATGAAGAGTTGGGAAAGTGAAGCAAGTAATGTACAGGTTCAGTGGAATCCGGTTGTCTTCCCAGATAAATCTTATCGTATAATATAATTGTACGAAAACAGTTTTTTTCGGCACATGCTTTGAAGTCCTCTGATTAGCACACACAACTATTCTATTTAATTAAAAGAGAAAATTCTGGATTATAATATTTACATAATTTTCTTTGTCGTTCGTTAAGTAAGAACGTTTCAAAAACAACATGTAACGATGTGCTATATAACGAAATAAAAAATACAATACAATGAATTTTGTTGATTTTATTTGGTTAATCAATAACACGAATGCTCACCGAGCCAAGAGAGATTAAAACTTCCTTAGTTATTTTTGTTTTACACTTGAGCGCGTAACTGGCTAATGAATACATAACACATGGACAAGCGTGCATGTTGACGACATATTTACTAAAATTATTTGGAGAAATTAATTTATAATGAATCGGATCATTCACGGCAAATAGACTACTAATAATAAAAGTGTGATCATGACCATTAAGCTAGAATTTCTCGTATGTAGCATCTGTAAACTAGTCTGTGTAATCAAACAGAACCTCATAAAAGTGGACTTGAACATGTTGTTATTGAGACAAATGTTCACTTCAGGATTGCATAGTCCACAGCGTTAGTCGTAAAATATAGGTCTTACACTTTCGAATGAAAATGTACAGGATGTTTCACACTTCTCTGTGACTTTGTTCAAAAATATGTTATACAATATTGTGTTTAATAATTGTTTTTCATAAGTGAAAATTATGTTTTTCTTAATTAAATACAAAATAACTGTAACCACAAACAACAGCGTCTGCATAATTTCTATATCTTAATCTATTCTGAACGTACATGTTAGTAAAATTTTAGGCAAAAGGACAATAAAAAAAGTACGTCGAGGTAAAAATAAGAAGTATATAATTTTAAAAACTCTAAATAAGATTTACTATTGTAAATTTTGGACATAATGTCATCTCTTTGTTCATCGGGATGTCTAGCCCAATTGTGGTTAGCGTTTTACCGTCTATACGGTATTTCCTACACACAACTAAAATTTGACAATCTGTTTGGTAGTTTTCGGAGATAAACTGTCTAATCGACATAGACAGACTGACGACAGATAGACGGAAGCGGAAGATCTATTTTTGCGTACTCTAGGGGTCATGAAACGTCCAGGAAACATGAATGAAGCCAGTCGCCCTATGGATTCGATTACAATAATTACTTCCTTAGCTAACGCTCGGGAAGTAAAAAATAATTAGACTTATAGATCACTAATTAAAGATGTTCAAATGAGGTGTTACAAGACAGGTAGTCATATTTAATAACAATATTAATGTGGTGGGAATAACTTAATAGGTCCTAGCAACATTTTGTTAGGTAAATATACAATTTGTTGATAGTTGTTATTAGTTTATTACAACCCATAAATCCAAGGTTTAAAGTTCTCTGTCAGTTATTTAGTTGTGTCAGTCATTTGTAATTACGATAAATTTGTAGTGTTTGGATTTTCCAGTGATAAGATAAAAAATCGTGTAATTTACGTCAGGCACTTACAATCAAATTTCACCTTTCTGAGGTTAACACAATGGTTAAAATTAATATGAGGTACTTATATAAATAATAATCCTCAAAAGTTTTTTAATTAAAGTGTTTCTCAGAAAAGCCCTGCAGCGAAGTCACTAGAATGACTACTGTAAGCAGTATTTCCAATTTAGGATAATATAAGACAGCTTGATAATAAATTTTCTGAAATTGCATATATATTTTTGGAAAAATCGTTGCTGTTCAGCCTTTAAAAAATCCTTTACAACTTGAAAATTTACTCGTCTCTAAAAGATAACAAGAACCAGATGTAGGTCAGAGTGAATTTTTTAAAAGCATTTTTAATAATTTCTCAGATGACGTCATCAAATTTTTGGTAGGAATATATATTATCTATTTATATGTTGCATATGATAATAAAATACTAATCATAATTGTGTTTATATATTTTTTAGATATACTTTGCATGTGGTTCTAAAAAATAGAAATAAAATAATTTTAGTGAAGAATTAATTTCTCTTGATGGATTGAATGAATAATTTATTAAAATTGAATTCATATTCTGTCATTTCTAAATCAGTGTTACCAAAATGTGGAAAAAGTCTGTTATGCAATTTTTCTTTATTTATTCGTAAGTGTAAGCTTAAAAATAAAAATGAATTGTTATATAACACGTAAAGTGCGATTTACTCCAAAATATTTTGAGGTGACCAATGAATTTTTCGTATGAGATGAATACGCAGATTTTGGTTACAATTTTAATATTTGCATAATAATTCTAAAGCATGTTTTCAAAATATAAGGTTATTGGTGTGATCATTGTAGATGTATGTTTTGGTCTGCAGATGGATTTTTTTTTACAAAATTTTAAAAAATACAGAAATTTATTAACGTTATATACATATAAAGGTATGCGTAAGGCTGGTTCTCACTGAAGTCAATCCAAGAATTAAACATCTTTTATGGGATAATTAAAATCTCCCAAGTGCGTATCGAAATCCGACTATCAGTTCTGCCAATTACCACCATAAACCACATCAACTAGAAACAACCTCACAAACAACAATTATATTCTACGAACCGATTGACGGCAATAATTAAATTTTAATCTTTCTTTTACACTAAAAATTTCCCGAGATCCATCAGATAAACAAATAAATTAGTCCTGCCTGAGTGAACAAAATTTGAATAATCTCCATTCGGCTAAATTAAGAAATTTACTGCCACAGTGTGACTGCCTCTTTATTGTCAATGCTCTGGTAAAAATGGCGCAAGCACACCGTACCAAGATCAAGGGAAAGCGCCGGTTTCCTCACACTTTGGTGGTAGGTAAAATCCGAGCGGTGGTTAAAATCTTCACGTACCTTTCACGACCACCACCAACTATAAAGTCTCACTCTTTTCCAGGACGATTCAGTTTAGTTCAGTCCTTTCGACCATCATCCTCTAACAACACTATAACGATGCTGTTCTACATTGTAAGTAGAGTAGCGATGTGTGATATCGTGTGAATATAAAAAAATTCTTCAGGTCAGTGCCGCTGCAATCTTCGTGGTAGTGAACGCCACTGGAGGCGGTGGATATGGTCAATTGGAGGAGTCTGCCTACGGAGGACATGGTGGATATGAAGGTGGTTTGGCTTTGGGCGGATACGAAGGCAATGAAGTCGGGCACGATATTGGAGGAGGGCATCATGAGGAATTTGTGGATTATTATGTAAGTGGAAAATCGATCAAATTATAAATAATAAGGGAGTTAGAGACGGATACTATTTTATATTTTTTATTTTGCTAAAAACGATTTTTTAAACTGTAACCGAATATAGTGAAAGTTAATTTTTTACTAACTATATGTATACAAAAAATCTACTGTCATTGAATCCTGAACAAGTCAGGTATTTTAATATCACAATGTAATAAGATTCTCATTTTCCGTCGAACCATTTCACGCTTAAGAATTCATTGAAACTATTTTTTTTAGAATGCAGCGATTTTATAATTAAATGCATTTTGTTACATTCCTTGCAGAATTAATTTTTGCATATCATGTTATATGCACTTTCTTTACCTCTTCTTATATTTTTGAATAAACTAGAATAATCATAATAAACGTTTTCAATAAAAATAGAACCACACTAGTTATAATTCAAAACTTGTATTTAAATGCATGCAACACTAGAAGGAAGTACGAAAGCACACCCAAGGTGGACAGACAAACATTTTAATTTTTCGGAAACTTTTTCAGTTTTTTTAATTTTTTTTACAAATTCTTCAAATTTTATGCTGTCATGTTGTTTAACTGAGTATTTTATAGGATTATAGAAGATAAGGAAAACTAAAATAATTTTGGATTAAAATCAGAGTACATTAAAAGCGTCTGAAGTTCAAGAAGCCCGAATTCTTGATGAGATAAAAAGTAAATTGTGAACAAACGAAAGATTATGTGATCAGAATATAAATATAAAATTAATAATTTACGATAATCACAAAGTATGTTTAATAACTTTAATTAGATATTCCATTAACGGTTATTAATGATAATTACACAAATATTTGACAAGTGTGGCAAACTATAACCGAAATTAGTTTTCTACTTTTAAGGCTTGTAGAAGATGTAAAAGGCGATAATTTTTAATTTTTCTCAAGAGTACTTTAAACATTCATACAAGATGTAAAATACAAGGATAAAGTTTTAATGAGTTCAGAAATATACAAAATTTTAATATTTTCGTATCAGAGTTTATCAGAGCGTTTATAACTTTATTGTAGGAAATACAAACGACATTTTTTGTATACTACAAAATCAGATTTTTCAGAATCGGATGTTATAACTTTATTTGTTTATTGATATGTTTGTGTTTATCTATTCCTAAAAGTCGTGTACATCTAAATATATAAAAATATATATGACTAATAGTAGTACTTCATTATTAAATGTATTCTTATTTTACAACCAAAATAATCAAACCAAAAAAGTGAAAATGGTGGCAAACAGAATTTTATAAAATGTTATAAGACCAAATGAAGATTTTTCAAAATTTTCTTTTCAAAGCAACTTATTTAGTCAACGGCCTTGTTTCGTTTTTTTTCATAAATTTTATTACAATAAATGAAAAAAATTAAAAAACTTTTTTTTTGCTTTTATCCGCATTTTTAGAATGCACGATTCTCCCTAATTTGAATGCAATGAAACGCATCAATTCCATCGCTTAAACATACATGTCACACTGTTGCTAGAAAGTGTAACAGTTGCGAAACATTATCAAGAAAACAATACAATTATTTGAATAGAAAACTGAATAAAAAGCCAAAAACCTCAAATTAATTGTGCCACACACCTCAATTAAAAACTTAATAGCGCAAGAAACGTTGAAAATATTAAAAGAATAATCACAATTGTGTTCTTACAAACCGAATAATTTTATTCTCAGCATCTTCCTCCGCTTTCACCTTTTATTTCCTGTTTTACTAAATGGGCAGAATTTTCTGCATTAAGATAAGTAAAAGTGCTGGATAACGAATGTCGTTGCAGGCTCATCCCAAATACCATTACGATTACGCCGTCCACGATTTGCACACCCATGATATCAAGAGTCAATGGGAGACTAGAGACGGCGACAAAGTTAAAGGTGAATACACCGTTGTGGAACCCGATGGTTCAAAACGGATCGTCCAGTATACGGCTGACAAACACAGTGGGTTCAACGCAGTGGTCAAAAACGTCAAACCCGGATATTAGACAAATAGACAAAATATTTATTCTAGTTTTAGACATTGTTATTGAAATGCAGTTGTTGAATTCGCCCATAATAAATCTCATTCATCATTTTGCCATACCACACGACATGTATAGGTTTACAAGATTTTTGCGAAATTTGTCTTGTATAAAAATAGATACTACTCTGTGTTCATGGTAACATCGTCATCTTTTCATATTGTTATTTTGTAAATTATTATAAGATACTTATCAGTATTGTTGTATATACCTTGTACCTTTCTAATGCTTATAAGAAATAAAATATGTTGATATTTGTATACATTAATGGTTTTATTTCAAGACTAAAAGACGTGACTGAAGAGCGTAACGAGAAATGCCCTAGAAGTGCTCCAAACTCTAATTATTATTAGGAAATGAATGAAAAGTGAAATGCACGATGTTTAAAATAAAACGAATGCCCGTTTCTAGCAAATTGCATTATTTATGTAACTTGTGCTTTGATGAATTTCTTAAAAAATTCTCGGAATGCGAGCAGTCAATTTGTAGACACTTCGTTATTTAATTTCTCATTAAGTACGCTTCGTTAAGTGCACTACTTTATAACTACCTTGTGGGTGTTACTCGTACACCGCGATTACATAGAAATAGACTTCCGTTGTTTATGTCGTATGTTTATACATTAACATCTCATTATTACACTTTCGGTTTAATGAAGCGTAAAACGTCCACACGGATGTTTGAAATTGCATAACAACACAAAAAGACAACAAATCTGCTTTGCATGGGAAATACCTAATAGTGTCATTCTTGCGAATATCTATTTATCTTTAATAATGATTGATTCCTGCAAAGTCTGTGTAGGATTAGGACTTTATTTTTAAAATGATATATTATCTTCGGTTATAAATATTAGGCAGCGTGAGAATTTTTTAAAGGTACTTGGCGACATACAGACGAGTAACTCATCTATCTATTGCAAAGTGTTTACAGTTAAATAACATGAGTGATACTAAAATTTCAATCAACGAAGTAATACCATCTGAGACGCCTACTTCTGACAACTCAGAAAATGCGCCCAACATTTCTAAGAGAACAAAAAGGATGTATGTGGATCCTGGCGCTCGAACAAATGTGGATCCGTCAGGAAAACAAGTCACCGAATTTTCAGGTAGCTCATAAGAAATAAGATTATATGCAGTGTACCTGCATGTATTATTATTTTTTGTTCTAATGTAATGAAATGTACTGCCAATGTAAAAATGTGTCCGGGACTTCCCACCTGATTATATTGTAGTTTATGTAGTGAATGTTTCATATTTAATATGCAAGTCGCAATATATTAATTTTTATGTACACTTATTATTAGTTTTTTTTTTTTGTAAACCTAAACATAAGGTGAGATGAGAATTTTAATTATTAAATTAATTAAACTTTGTAAGTTTTTGAAATTCATGTAGTGATAATTTAAGAATATGCTCTAATAAAAATTTGTAAAATACAAATATGTACATATGTAGTATTTTTTTTGTATCTTTTTTTAATTAAGTTCATTATGACAACTAAAAAAGAAATGCTCTCGTATAATAAGCCATAATTTGGAAAATGTGTTTGATCAAAATGGTAAGTTACATTTACTCTTAATTTGTCTATTTTAATCAGTCAAATCAATGAATTTGAAATTTAAAATTAAAAGCGATGTTTTACGAAAATTAATAAATTTTATGTACTTTGATCTAACATTAAAAAAATTGTTATGAATATTTTTTATGGGCAGCGTGATCTATCTTTAGGTGTGTAATTATGTATATCGGAAAAAATTAAAAATCAGTTGGTGTATGGCAAATTATTATTAAACATCAAATTAACAAGTAATTGTTAAAAACTACTTCATTTATTAAAAATAATGTTTTTTACGTATTTTACACTTGTGTTTTATACTAGTTAACGCTTATAAAAAATCTGATATTTATTTTGTACAAATTATACTTTTGGATATTTTTCATTTAAAATGTTTACACAATTTTCTACATTACTTCACATCCGATAGATTGCTATTTGCACAACCTACATAATTTTAAAAGTAAACCCTATAATCTGATATTAATTGATTAAATAAGTCGCAATCAGAACAAAGTTTTATTAGAAATAAAAATGAAAAAATATGTAAAATATGTTATAAATAAGATTCTGTTTTTTTCACTTCTATATTAATAAATTCAGTAAATTTGAAACATATAATAATGAAAAATATTAATTTAGGATAATAAAAATAATACACTAAATATAGGGCTAAGTTTCGACGATGGTTTTTTTTATATATAAACTAATAATAATTTACAACAGAATTGTGAAACATGTTGAAATAAAATTTTCACTCCTCAATTGCTCCTAAAGTACTAAGGAATTGATAAAGCGCCTGTGTTTCTAGTGGTTTTCCTATTTGAAAATGTTCCTATCAACATTTCACCAAGGACACGTATGTCAATTCCGACACGTGCAATGTAATACTAATAATTAAACAATGGGGTGTACCGTTCACGATTTGATCAATAAAAAATATAGATAATATCAGTAAAAGTGTAAGAAAAAAAATGCGACAATCGAACGTGTGTTATCTTCGTGTAACAAAGTCGCACACAGTAAGCAACGAATTGACGAATATTATTGTGGGAGCTCCACTTATATGATGTTTCGGGGAAAACCTGAAGTTGGCTTCATAACCCACAAGTACAGGAATATCTTATTACTATGAAAAATTTTGAGGGAACAGATGGCAGATAAACAGACATATAGACAGAAAGAAAGCAGTCGCCCAATACTTACGAAGTAAAAAAGATCAAGAGTGACTTTCAAGAAGCTCGAACCTTCAATTGAGATGGTACACCTCATGGTATGACTAGTGGTCTCACATTTTTAATAACACATAGGTTGAATGTAACTTTTATGACCTAATAAAACGTTTCATTATAAGTTAATATTAGCGATAAATTTTATTTTCTGGAATAAAATATTATGTAACGTTGCAGACGGGAAATGATATTTGTAAATATATTTTTGTAATCAGTCTGAGCAAATAATAACAATTCACGTATTTTTCGCTAAACAACTCTTGCTAATTTCTGAGAGAAGATTTTATAGGTCATCCAAATAAAAAATAATAATATATTAATTCTGATATGTATATATAACAATATTAATTATAAAAAATAATAAATAAATAGCTTTGTTTATTACTTTTTTAAATACCCGGTATAAACAAATCTAATAAATAAAAATTGCATCTGGGAGCAGGATATTTAAAAACATGTGTTTAATAATTCGAAAATACGGTTAAAGGAAAATTAGAAACTAACACTTTCTACCAACTGTGGAATGTCGGGAAAAGATGAAACAGGCTATTTTTGTCAGTATGACGTTATTACATTATTTCCTTCGCTTACGTTTCGGATGTGATTGAAGTTGGCACTGAAGTTGGCTTCAGATTTAGATTTTTTTTATTTTTTATTTTTTTACTTAAAATCAGGTCAGTTTACTGTAGACTCGTTCAGTAACAAAACTATTACACTTGAAATAAATATATTTTAACGGAAAAAAATGTCAACATAAGTAAATATCAAGAAACATAAGTTGAAAGGCCTGGCGAAAACCCAAAGAAAAAATATAAATATTTACCGACATTTAACAATTTTAGGTGAAGTTGATTACTCAATTAATCTAATACTCAGGAAACGCACACATATTGTGAGTAAATACTTTTATATTGGTTTATGACTGGGTGGAGACTGCAACAGTGCAATCAACCATATATCACTCTACATCAAATTTTATTACGATTTCAAGTATCGCTCAATCTTTAATTTACTAAATTTAAGAAATCACGCACCTTTTCTAATTTTTAGTGGCGATTTCATGCTATTATGTGTTACCCAGAAACAATATAGTAACACAGTTTGTCACATTCTGTGACAGGAAAATATTAGATTCGCGGAATGTTTTTCAAACATTGTATTTATTTTTCCCATATCATTTGGCCCATCTAATAAAACTATAGTTTTTTGGGTATCATAAAAAAATGTAAACTACTATATGCTTTTGTTAGTCCTCAAATTAATTAACATACAACTATATCCTTTTTTTTTTAATTTTAGCAATAAAATCAAAGACATTAAAAATTATGGCGTTTTTTTCTCGTTGGTCAATACATATTAGTAAAACAGAGTTTTCAGAAATACTGCATCTAATTTATAGATGAATTTTTACAAAAGAATACGCGCACCACTGACTTTGCTTCAGGAACGAAGAAAATCCTGTCTAAATATTTCTAAACATCTTACAGTCTCTGTTCTAGGCAACCAGTTAAACACAACATCATTTAGATCATATAGATATCCACGACTTGTTGCAAAGATGTCACTAACCACAAACCTAAAAATCATAGACTGCCTACCTCGTTTAAATTTTTAGCTGCTAAATTCCAGTGATGATATCAATTTCGTCTAAGAAAAGAAGTATAGGAGAGGTGCCGGTGCCACCACTGCATCTCCGTAATATTCTGGTTGTGAGGTAACTACTCCTTTTCATTGTGTGGTGTGTTCCCCATATATGTACCGAGTCAACATTAAGGTTTTTGACTTTTTGGCAGGTTGGGAACCTTATACTAACGTGAAAAGATTTTTGTTTCTAGATTTCGGAAAAGTCCAGGATTCACTTTGTCCAAAAATCAAAAAGTAGTTCAAAAATTTCGGAATTTCGATGAAAACATTTAGAAGTTTACTGATGTTAAAGTGAAAAAAAAAAAAAATGTATAACCCAGAATAAAATAAAAAATAATTCTGAAAATTAAAATATGATTTGCTTACTTGATAAGATAAGACTGATTTTGGCAAATGACATAGCCTTTAAGAAAATAGAGGGCGGGTGGGCGGGGCTAGTACTTGCTAAGACAAGACTGATTTTGGCAAAATGCCATACCCTCTAAGAAAATAGAGGACAGGTGGGGGCTTAGTGTTTGATAAGGTAAGATTTATTTTGGCACTTTTAACATTTTCGGCCTTTTTTCAACTATTTTCGAAAATTATCCAGTCTGGGCAGATATATGAAATAAGAAATAAATTTTATAGCAAATGGTATATAATAAAAAGAAATTACGATTAGTGCTTTTTTTATTTGTTTCACATCCTAGGTTTTATTTGCTTCCACTCCCACTGGGCAGAATAACATAATTAGCCCGCCCACCCACCCGGTCTCCTTGTCAGTGATTAATTTTATCCAATCTGAATTAAATTAATGATGTTATACTGAACAGAAATAAAATTAGTCGTTAGAATGAGACGAGAAAGGGTGGGCGGGGCTAGTACTTGCTAAGATAAGACTGATTTTGGCAAATGACATAGTCTCCAAGAAAATAGAGGGCGGGTGGGCGGGGTTAGTACTTGTTAGACTGATTTTGCAAATGACATAGCCTCCAAGAAAATAGAGGGTGGGTGGGCGGGGCTAGTATTTGATAAGATAAAATTCATTTTGGCACTTTTGACATTTTCGCCCATTTTTCAACTATTTTCGAAAATTATACAGTCTGGTCAGGTACATGAAATAAGAGATAAATTTTATAGCACATAGTATAATAATAAAATTTAATTTACGATTAACGCGTTTTGTCATTTTTTTCACATCCTAGATTCTAATAGTTTCCATTCCCACTAGATAGAATAACGTAATTAATTAATTTTATGATGACATACCTGATTGTCCAATGACATTTATGACCCCTTATTATCTCAACAATTCAACGCGTTTGTTAGGCCTGTTTAGAGATATTAGTGAAAAAAAAATGCTAATTTAAGCAGAAAAGTATATTTTAACTAATTATTTATTTAAAAGTGTTAAATGTTTATAACAACAAAAAAACGCAAAAAAAAAGAAAATACCGTTGTAAAACAAAATAATCTGCTTTAAAACGAAAAGAAAAAACGAATCATTTATTAAAAAGCGGTTATTTAAGGCGTGCTTATGTCAAAATTGACAACTGGGAACTGACCTATTAACATAGATGCCAATAATTCAGAATTGCCAACACAAAAAGTTGCTTCAGTCATTATAATACTAATACTACCAGAGACTTTAAATACATAGACTGCCTGTTAGTAACATTTCTAATGCATTTTGGTGAAGCCACGGCGCATGGTAGTATGGACGCCATTGCTATAACTTTTATGTCAAATTAAGTGAGGTTGTGGTGGTTAGCAGCAGTAGTTTCTAGCACAGAACGTTTCTAGACCTCGAAATAAAAGTGGTTGTGTGTCGTGACTTACGAGATTGTTTGTAAATATGGCTATTAAAAATGATTTGGTAACTAAAATGTTTGCCTTAACTTTGCAAAGTAGGACCATACATTTTTTTTCTACAAAATGAACATTGTTTAGTATGGATTAGTTGGACGTAAATAATTCTTATTTTAATTTATTGCTTAAATTAATTTTGAGAAATTATTTGACTCTCGGAATAGGTTATGAGTGCCGCTTAAGTACTGAGCGTGAAAAAGCTATCTCGCTAGACAAAAATTCACGAAATTAATTTTGTTTCAAGGACATTAATATTTTTAAAGGAATTTACATATACATATAGATATTATTATGCTAAATAAATAATTACAATTTGTTGTCTTTTTTATTTAACATTTTAAATTGCATTTTGTGATCGGAAAATTCAAATTTCGCGCACTTACGGTTATAAGCAATATGGCGGTCGAAAAACTTCACGTTTTTCCTGACACAGCCAGTCTATGTATTAAAGTCTCTGAATACTACTAATAATACTATAATAATAGTCACCTGATTCAAGTAATAAATAACAAAGTAAAGACGAGAGCAGCTTCTTTTGAATTTTTATTATGGCACTAAGTATATGTCTTGTAGAAGATTGTATATACGAAGGTAAAAGGCAGATTCAAATATGTACGATGTTTACACACTGAGTGCTCTAATCAAAGTGGTCAATATGTTGTCTGTCATAGTAACTATGACATTTGAGCTGTCGTTGCCATGGAGATGGTTAGAGGTGGCCATTATAGTTAGACACTCCGAAAGAGAAGGAACAAATCAGTGCCCATTTGGATGTTAGAATCATGTATTTGTCTACTTCTTTTATCACTCTTCACATCTTTTACTTAAATCTTGTTTTACATAAAACTGTTTAATTTAAATTTAAAATAAAATCTGTGGTGTGTTGGTAACATGACTTATTATAAGCGTGCCAGTGCCACAGTTTACAAAAATCAGTATTATAGATTGAAAAGGTAAATGCTTTTTGAAAAGAAAATTTTATTATTAGCCTTCATGGACTTATTTAACTGTTCTTTTTCTATATTTGTGCTAGTAACGTATAAAAATATTTAGCGACTGACAGTACATCTACTACATACGGGGTCAATTAATGCAATACTGGAAATACAATAAAATTTGCCTTTTTTGACTTTGCGTCATTTACTTCAAAATGACAATTTTGTATTGTTGTCTTTGTTTCTTCTTCTGGTAAAATGCGGTGTTGGTACATCTTCAAAACGAGAAAATAATCAAAAATAATTAATGGAAGTAGATAGTTTTTTTCAGTACTGAAGTATGTTTCATATTTATAGTTATACGGTTTTTGAGGGCGATAGTTGTTGAATGTATGGTTTATAATTTGAAGAGTTCTTGAGGTCATTGACATGTTTATAATATAAATTAGGAACCTTCGAATCTGATTTAATACATTTTTTGTGTCAGATCTGCTATTAAATATGTGTAGAACTGTAGACGGTAATAGTAGTTCCGCATATATAACAGAAATATTCTCTTGGACCATCGAATACGTTGTATATACCTCGTACAAAATAAATATTTCGCTTTAAAAATTGTGACTTACTTTTAGACTCTGGAACCCGATGCCCACCAGGAAGTTGGCAATCCAGTTGACTAGAACCGCAATTGACATGGCAGCCGGCCTCGGTCCTTGCGAGAAGAGTTCGGCGGTGATCATCCAGGGTATCGAGCCGGGGCCAACCGCGAAGAACACAACGAATCCCAACGTAGAGACCACAGACAGATACGACATCCAGTCTATCATCTCCTGCACGTATCCAAAAAACTCCTATCAGGCAGTAGTAAAGATGTTCTTTCCCGACAGGGAGGAGTGACCGCGATAGCGAAAATAATAATACCATGGGTAAGTGGTGTCGACTACTCTCAAGAGGAAAGGACGCTTTCGATCCCACAGGAGGACCGAAGGGGTCCCTCCTGGTGTAGTACGCATGCATTGTGTCTCGAGTGTGTATATAGTCTCGGCGTGCGGGTCGGTGGCAGTGGTGTAGGTTACAGGCGAGGTATTTACAGCGTCCCTCCTCCACCATGTCAGGAAAGTCGTCACACACAGACAGGGCGAGGCAAAAGAAGCGGGTGAGATGTGGAAGCAAGCAGGAAGCGCGGTTCGAAGGATAATGGGACTCTCACACTGGCAACGGGGTTAGTACAAGCGTTTTACAAGAGCCCTTTTATGTTGACGATTCTAAAGAAATTGCTTCCTGATTATGTTAGACTCGCTGTTGGATTCGTTGAAGATTTGTGGGCGGTTATGATGGCCTAGGCGGAAATCATTTGGGGTAGGTAATGCTATATTGTTCATTTTCGGTATTCGGTAGCTTGTTGACAACGGAGGGTGAGAAAAATCAGTATGAGTTCTGTAGGATAAGTCTACCTTACCTTGGAGGTAAAGAAATTTATATAAATAGTAAAATGGCGCCTTATGAAGATACCTATAATTTGAAAATTAGTTTAATGAAATGTTTTGAAATAAGAATGAAAAAAAAAAGGAGTAAAGAAACAGAAGGAGAAAATTTTGGCAAAGGGAATAATTTATCTTCTTACGGTCAAGTCTGTCTTAGTATTTAATTTGAAGCAAATCTTGTTTTATTAGTAACTCTGACGACTGTAATTAGGTGTAAAATGAAATTTTTGCAGCTAAATACTTAAAGCATCATACACTGCCACCACTTCTTTGTACACAAAACACTGGCGCCACCATATGTTTTTTGTCATAACTTGAGTTCTTGTTTTTAAAGCTAAAGGCTTGATTTTCCATTTAATGAAAGGCATCTCGACAGAATAATTAATTATTCCAAAGAAACAAACAGGCTGAAAATTTTAATAGAATTGTGAACAACATCATTAAAATAATGACTTTTCATTCATAACATCTTATAAAGCCCGTTTTAATGGCTTGGAAAAAATAAAAAACTTTACGAGACCATAATTCCATAAAAAGCAAAAAGTTTAATTCAATTGTTTTGGAAATGAAGTTGACAAAAGGAACGGAACTCATTAAATTAAAATTCGAGGTAAAATGGATTTAACACTGAATGAAAAGACTTTAAATGAATAAGCAAATGCGAGGTGTTGCAAATAAAAATTAAACATGCGGGGGTTATTTTCACAGATCGATAAGCAAAACTGCATTCTTGATTGAATGCAACTTTAATTACATATATTAATTTGAACAAGAATGCAATTTTGACAGACACTTCTGTGCCAATAAATGATATTTTAAGCTTTCTGTGCTCTCTTTACGCTTAGCTCGGTATAAATGAATCAAGACAGATTTTATCCTCAAACAAAAAATCAATATACGAGGCGTTTAGACGAGTAAATAATCTTGCCGAGCCTTCCCTTTTAAGATCATGTTAAGTAAATACTCGGCATTTGGAAGGATAAGCAGATATATCACGCAATCACAGAAAAGTAAATCATTTATTGGCACTTGAATACCCAGTACTGATCTATACAAACCGAGAAAATAAGAAATCATCTTCCACTACTCATATACTTGCTTACAAGAAGATTTCTTATTTAACGTTCGCAAAACTCCTGTGCGCTCCACTGAATAGGTCACAACATTTTAAAACTACCGAAGAACTGCCTTTTGCGAAACCGCCAGAAAAAGCACGTCTGGGTACAGACAAGAGGCAGCATTTCGATTTCCACCATCACCGTTCGACTGCACCATCACCAAGGAAAGGTGCCTTATCGCCAACGAACCAACCTTTATTAAAAATGAGATGGTGATGAATATCGAAAAGATGAACATGCCACCGAGGCCGTAAAGATGTAACGTCCGCCTGCCGGTCTTGTCCATCAGAGGTATGGAAACCAGCGTCATTACCACCATAATGGCGCCGATGCCAATGGTGGCGAACTTGGCGCTCTCTTCCGTTAACCCTGAGCTGACGAACAAACTGGTCGAGTAGTAGAACACCTGAAAATACATTGTTTATGAAGTTTTCTCATTTATAATGCGAAATTGGCTTAAAGTCTTTAAGGATGATAGGAATAAAGTACCCCAGAAGACTGATGCTTAAGGTAGTTTGAGTTTTACGTACCGCGTTGATGCCTGACAGCTGCTGCGAGAGCTGCATGACTACGCCGATGATCAGAGGCGCCCTCAGCGTCGGCGAACAAATCAGCTCCAACATGCTAATGGAAGCTTCGGCTTGTTGAGCTCTTTCCTCCGCCCGCATCTCTTCGATGTCTTCTTCAACCTGGTTGCTCGCCCTTAACCTCCGCAACGCCTTCCGCGCTTCTTCCTCCCACTGTTTGGTGATGAGCAAATAGCGCGGACTCTCCGGACAAATTGGAAGAAGTACTAATTGAAGTAAGGCAGGACATACGGCTAAGCCAAGTAGTAGAGGCCAACCGTCGTTGGTACCGAGAATTTGTTCGATACCGAGCACTTGTGATAACAGAAGACCCACTGTAACCGCTAATTGGTTCACTGTCCCAAGACCACCACGTAAATTTAAAGGAGCTATTTCGGATATATACATAGGTACTAAGGATGTGTTCAGTCCTGGAAAAGAAGACAAACTTTAGTGAATATATATACAACATATTTAAAAGAGTGATTGGTAAGAACATTGCCCGAAATTAATTCAAAATTCGCCCTACCGTTTAGGGTGGCTTGCTCTCTTCAAAGTTACGGATTAACTAATTAATGGCAAAATGTGTAAGTAACTTCGAAGGTGTATTTTAACGATTAAAAAAATTACTGCCACAAAACTGAGAAAAACTATGATTTTTTAGCTGTATTTTTGAGATAAGCGTTGCACTACACTGTAGTTTAAATAAGAGTGAGTCTCATCGACAGACCTTTTTTAGAAATTTTGAGAGATCTGTTGTATGATGGCGACCTGTTCCTTGTTGTATTAAAAATATACTGATCTAATGGAGCGTTTAAAGCGAGCTCGTTTTTCACGTGCCACGTCACAAAATACTTATATATTTATTGTGTTTTTATTTTTCTTTTCATTAGATTCTTGATGCTTGAGTTAAATTATTAGTCATGGTTTTGTCAAACAGGATATTTTTTGTCGTTAACTGTTAATTTGTTCTAACAAAGACGCATTATTCATAACTTTAAATTTTTTTCAATACTTTTAATTTATATATCAAAGAGTTGTGAATTTATTTCTTCATGACAAACTTTATGAGTTCATATTCAGCTAAAAATAAGTTTTTTTTTTATAAAACTTTCTAGCATGATCTTTGTATTTCCATAACGGTAAAATTTTAAAAGTGTAAAACTTAATTTATTTCTTATTATTCATAACCCTTCCCCCGGCAATAAAGTTTCGGATTCAGATTCGTGTTTTACTGACTTCAACTGAGGATAATTTTTTATAAAAATTTTAAGCAGAACATTAGTAGCTTAGTACCTTTTGTTTTATTTACGTCTGCTTCTTTCTCTTTAAGTTGTTTCACTAAATGCATCTGAAAACACTTCCCACTCTTTTACTGCACAAAGTAACAATGATTGTCTCCTTTAATGTCAGAAATTTGATATTTTATTAGAGTTTCAAAAAAAAGACCAACGTTGTATGGATTCTTGAGCAATTTAAATTAAGTAGAATTATTCTCGGTTCTACAAAGTGTTTTTGAAGCGCAACATACAACTTAATTTTTATTTCCTGAGCGTAAGTTAAGGAAATATAGTGATCGAGTCCATCGAACGAATGGCCACTTTTATATTTTCTGGACATTTTCTGACTCCTAAAGTGCGAAAAAAGTAGTCTCCCGTTTCCATCTGTCTGTCTGTCTGGCGTCTGCTGTTTTAATCAGTCCAGTCCTCAGGTTTAAGGAGATAAAATTAATTAAATTTCATTTTCTTTTATGCCGATGCTTATACGTGATTATAGTCGAATCCTTAAATAAACACTCGAAGTTAACTATGTAATTACTAAGATTTGATTTTCCCGTTGATGGTTATATGGTTTTTAATAAAATAAACGTATAAAAGGTGCTACGTATATTTTAAGTGAGTTTATCCATTACAAAAGTTTGTGATGTCATCAATATTTTTGCAAGGACACAGATATCAATTTGGATAGATCCAGTGCAAAACTACAGAAGTATAAACATGTGTTTAAATGGCCAATATACAGTAGCGGTCATTTCTACGGAACCACTCGATAAAAAGTCAAGTTGGTAGCTCTGTCATCTAGTACTTTACGCCGAACGCGGTTGGTAGCGGTAGTTGATATGGCAATCGAAACTAGCACAACACGAATGTTTCGGTTGCCCTCAGCTATGACGCACTGTATCCCGTACAGACTGTATGTTCTGTTCATCTATTTATTAAAATAAAATATCTACATTGACAATGGGGCCATCTAACCTGTCAAATTTTTGACACATATGTTTTCCCCCAGAAACCCGTCAAGGTCACTTACACCAAACAAACTTTGAAAATTTACACTAGGGAGTGGTTCCATAGAAAAGACCGCGACTTTATATATATTTTTATTTAAATGATCTGGAAAAAAATTGATTTATTTTAAGAATCCTTCATTATTTAAAAATTTTTGTATGTGAAAAATTCGTTTTAAGTCAAGGTAAAATTTTTATTTCTTTGATATTTTTGTATAAAGTAATAAATAAAAAAAATCTTGTAAACTCAATACGACACATATTGCATAATATTTGTATATGTTCCGTTCCCCCGTAATTGGGCCACGTAATCAAATAAAATAAAAAAAAATAAAAGTAAATGTTCTAATTGGCCCCTTTTTAGCTTTGAAATGCCGTTGCGACGTTGCCAAGTTAATTTAATTTTATCGATTTTTTTCACAATTAAGAAATCAAACAATGTCACAATAGGGTTATTTGTAATATCTCTGTTGCAATACTTATATACATATTAGGTAATCCAGATAAAACTCTTATATCTTGAAAATGGATAGAAATATTGAAATTCTGTAAACGTCATTGTTTTTAACTTGAACGAGGAAGCTTAATTTAGTACATTGCATATATGATACTTTTTAAAATTGGAATGTGTCATCTATATAATCAATTTTTCAACTGATTTTGATAGATTATGAAATTATTATGATATAAAACATTTAGGTTTTACTTAATTTTCAGTGGATAAAAAAAAACAAAATTTATGAATATAAATTTAAATTTAAAGTTGAATAAAATACAGTACTGCCACTTTATATTGGGTGATTTTTTAAGTTTATGCTCTAGTTAGCCATCCTTACGCCAGCAGTGAAACTGAAACGGCTTACGTAAGCGTCATGGCTAACTAAAGCAGAAATTTAAAAAATCACCACTTATTGATTTCAGTTGCTGACAAAAAAAACTCCAGTGGTGACTTTCATATTACACCGTTAAAACAAATTAAGTCAATTATATTAACGTTTGTAGAATTTGTCAGATGTCAGATGTCAGATTTAACACTATGGTGTTGTCAGTTGTATTTTCAAGGTAGAATACAGTGTCTGTGTTTTTTTATTTTGGTAAATACGATAGTAAGATTTGTTTCAAAACCAGTTATTTAAGTATGTCCTTCATGCTGAATACAAAAATAAATCTAAGGGCGTTAAATCTGGCCTGCGAGCTGGTCATCAAAGAAGGCCTCTTCTGCCGACTCAGTTTTCATAATAACTGTTTCAAAATAAAAAAATTCAACCAGTTTCAACAGGAAGTAATAGTACCAAATTTCTGACGTTCAACAATAGTACTTAGTGGAATTGTCTGCATTTTTGTTTCCATGATAATATATGCCATCTCATCATTTAGATCATTTATATTATTTACACTAATACGATACATAAGTATAAGTGTTTTACATCATTATATTATATTAATCGTAATTTAATGATATATCAAAATGTGTGAAAAAATATATACATATGTTACAAATTAAAAACATATGCCTTATATTTGCACTGTAATAAATTAAGAAGCTTCCTTCTTCAGCTTGAAAATAAACGCGTTTACAGAATTTCAATATTTCTAACCCTTCTCAAGACATAAGGTAGGAGAATTATATCTGGGATTCTCTATACAAACAAAAGTATGAGTTTTGTCACAGTAGTGATAAAATTGAGTCTTAATACAGAGTGTTTACAAAAAACTCTAGATGATAATATTTTGCAATTATACGTTTCTCTGTTTTTTCAAACGGAGCACTCTGTATTTCATTATTACATATTTCTTTGGTTTTTATTCTTTTTTTCACAATGATTTTCGATGTGTCTGTTAAAACATCTGAAAATGTTGAAACCATGAATTTTACATAAAAAAAAAAATTACAAGGAGGAAAGAAAATAAAACATGGTACAAATAATAATTTAAATTTTTTATCGAAACACTGTATCTTAAAATTCAGTTTTAAACTAAACTTGAAATATTGGAACACAGGTAGTAAAACAATCATAATACCTACGTTTTTTTTGTGAACTTTTGCATTATGAAAAATTTCAGGGAATCTGAAATAACTTGGCAACGTTGCTTTGGCATTTAAAATTAAGAATTGCTTGTAACAAAAATTCTGAAAAACAAAACATTCTCTCTAATTGCAAATTATTTTTAGTTATCTAGCTCAAGAAGTCGTTGACATTTTTCTCTCTCTATTATTGAGATATACATAGGATTTACACTTCGGGTTAATGCGTGAGAGCGTGTAGTTTGGTGGCAGTATAACGATAATATTAGCCACAACAACTTCGTCCATTTTTGTCAGCCGTGTGGAATTTTGCAATAAATTAAAATAATAAAAAACATAAAAACTCATAACATGAAATAACATATTGAGTATTACTTAGGTTATACACGGTGATGAAAAAATGACGTATAAGCTCTACGCTACGTTGTTCAGAAGGATCTGAAGAACCCAAAATAAACGGTTAAAAATAATCTGTTAACCAAATTTTTGAAAATATTAAACTTCCTAATTGTGATGTTTTAATGACAATTTAATTAACATTCTAAAATTCCGATAAAAATTGTCAAAAATGACATTTGTCAACAGTAAAAAATGACTTTCTGGAGTTTATTCTAGCAAATTATTAATAACTAATTATTTAACTACTAATTATGAAGTTTAATATTTTCAAAAGAGTTTTGAGACCTCTCTTGACAACATACCATTGAGCTTCTACGTCATTTTTTCATCACCCTGTATAGAGTATGTATCTTTTTGTGTGGGACCCGTTTAACAATTCAACAGTGGTTACTAATTTGCCTGCTCCATCATTTTCTCAGCTTTTAATACTACGAAATAAGAAAAGAAAATAACCAAAATCGCATTCGTATAATTGCTTCTCTTTACTAAATGTCTTAAAATGACGTTTTTAATTTTTTTAGAACAAATGCTTTATAAGGTGTAACCAAGAAAAAAAAACGTTATAACATTAGGTCGCATCATGTATGATTTCAGGTCTTATTGCATTCTTGTCTTTAACACATCCTTGACATTTTTTCACATACTCATCTCATTAAATTACCGCTAAAAAATCCTTACAATTTTACTATGACATTTTGCGATGTAAAGCCCGAGAACATAAAGTTCAGCCAAGAAGTGACATACTCACCACAATTGACCCCTATAATAAATCTGCCAAAAAATAGTATTTCATATGAGTTCGCTAGTTTGGTACACCACATTAAGCACGCCCCAGTAATTCCCAGGACGTTATTCAGAAGCAGTCCGCCTTTCCTGAAACAGAAAGTGAACTCGATTATGAAAATGTCACACAATTTCGCTACGTCTATGCCAGAAAAGTTGATATTAATTTACCTCCCGAATTTGTTGGCTACCATGCCCCCGCCGAATCCGCCTAACATCCCCCCTAAAGCAAATATGGACACAGCAATGGAGTAGAGGCCCCGTGCAGAATCATCCGACAGATCCTTCCCGTATCTTGTTTTGTACACGTCTTTCATGAAATGTTCGATGTTCTGCTCTGGTGCGTTTATTACTCCGGTGTTGTACCCAAACTGCAGCATGCCCAGGACCGCCGCCAGGATCGCATACGAGAGGAAGAACGTCAAGTCCTGAAAAAACACGCATTAATGTACGGCCACACATAATCGTTATTTAGCCACAAACGGAAAAACACGAAGCGTGAAAATTGCCTGCCGAGACGATGTCGAGGTGCACAACATGTCGAGAGCAAAATGATGACTTTACGTCAGTTACATGTAACGCTTGTTGTGCTGAGGCTGCAAAATGGATGGAAAAACGATCGCAATTTATAAGTTTAGTGAATATGTTGCATAATGTAGATATTGCAGTACTGTAAAAAAATATTTGTCCTGTGACAAGCTAAATTTAATTTTAATAAATAATATCTTAGAACGAAAAATAGGAAATTTATGTAACATTTCATGAACGGCATTTTCATTTTTAAATAAAAAACATATTTTGCTTCACTTTTGGATTAATGGTACGTAAATAAATAATGAACAAAAATTCGGTATCTGTTTTACGATTTATTGATTTGGAATAGTGTCGCAATTTTTATTAAATAAATTATACAATTAAATCGGGATAAATGGTCACATGTGCCACTGCATATACTTTACATTATTGTATAAATTAAGATGACAACTTTAGTGACAAATTGCGTGGATCTAGATATCAAGTAAATTGTAAAATGTGACTAGCGTTATAAAATAGTACATTATACACCTCAGCGATTCCTGTTGTGGAGTTTAGCTCGAGCGAAGCGAGCTCAAAATGAATTTGAATCTATGGTGTATACTTACTATTTTTCCACGCCCGTATTATTTAAATTAATAATAAAAGTAAGGCAACAATAAACGAGATGTGCCATATTGAATTTTTATTAAGCGCCAGTGCAGATTTATTTAAAAAACGTGTTGTTGGCGATAAAACATAAACTCACTTGATTTCCCTAAAATACAGGAGGCAGCTGCGAATGCCACAGAAGTTTCTTGTCCCCAAAATCAAAAAATATTTATGAAAAATGTTACAAGAATTCTTCGAGTGGTGTTCGAATCAATTAGTAAAAAAGTGAACTGAAAACGTTGTTTTGGCCTGTTTTGAGGAAAAGCATAATTGAACTTCCAACATAGTCGTATGTCTATTAAATGATGAATTCAGCAAGTCTGGTAAAATACAGTAGGTTCCTAAAATTCACTGCAAGTAAATTTATAATTTTGGTTTAGCTACTCTTAAACAGATTTGGACAGATTATATACAGGTCATAGTTGAAGACGGTGGCTGGCATCTTTACTAGCCGACAGGAACACTAGGAACACTTTACAAAACTAGTATTTTTAGAAATTTAAAGCATTTATTAACTCCACATGAACTTTCTGCTAAAATAATGGAACGTCTACCTACTGTTACTCTGTTAATAACTATCTATTAAGTTGATAACAACTTCAGACAGCACTTGTATGCAAGACATAATGCACTAAATGAAGTGGTTATATCAGTGGTTACATTGTGGTTACAATATTATCTCGTAATTCAGTGATCCTAGTGGTGCACCAGACTTAGCGTTTCTAGTCAAGTATTCATAACTTGTGTGTTTGAACAGAACAGAATTATTGTGTCCCGTGAGTTTAACTGTGTACCGCCACATTTAAAAATGCAAAGACAGAGTGTTCAATCTTGCTTTTGTAGATACTCACTGAGACAGTGTAAATTCAGTGCCAGTTCGCTGTGCAAGGTGCTGTCACACTGTGCACACAAAAAATTAACTATTCAGCAAAAATTTGCTATCACGAGAGTGCCAGTAGATGAATTTTATGAATCTGACCTCGTTTCGATTCGATCGTACCTTAGTAGCAGCAAATCGTTGCTGGACAGTCCAAATTTTTGAATAAACACAGTGAATTGGAACCTACAATAAATCAGTATTATAATACGAAAAAGGTTTGAATATTCCATGCTGTCTGATGTGTCTCCCACGAACAACGTCCTTGTCAGGACGAAAAAACGAATAATTTCCGAATCATGATTATTGGATTACAGTAGGTGTTTCTCGGTTTTCTAAATGTCAGATCTGCGCCTTCGCTCCATTGGAAGTGCGTCATGACAAAGCTGCTTTACTTGCCTGGTAAATATTGGTCATTAAATAATTTAAATGAGTCTCTGCCGTACTGGTCGATTCTATAATTATTATCGGCAAAATTATTTACATATGTATGACTTAATGATAGATTTGAAGAGAAATTTATTATTGAGGATTAATGGAGGTACCTACGTCAAAATTGGGAAAATACTGCGTTTCGGTAAAGAATTGTGCCATATATGTATATACAGGGTGATTAACCTAACATTTTAGTGACAACTACCACAATGATATAAAATGCGCGACTTTGACATCAAACGTCGAATTTCAAACTGAACTTGAAAATCTGTCAGTAATACCAGCTTACCAACAAAATGCATAGCAAACATTAATGAAACCCTTGTATAATTACAAAATATACGCTCTGATATGATGTTAGGGTAAATGTACTTGCTACATTTTAATGGTAAGTTTTTTAAATAATTCTGTGTAGGTGTCACACAGACAAAAAATAAAAGTTAGCATGCATCTCAAAAAGATTATTTAATGATTTCAAATATAACCTGTATTAATTAAAATTCTCTGGTTAATGCTGCTGGTTTATTTGAAGTCTTCAATCGTGTACAAGTTTGGCATAATAAATAATTAACTTTAGTTTTTATTTTCTCATTTTTAACTTTTTCGTAAAATGCGTTCTAAAATTAAGAACATTAGTTACGTACTTAACAAAAATGATTGAGTTTTCACTGTTATTTAAATTTTACAGTGAAAATTAACGACCTGAAAATGCTGTGATCTGGCAGGGTAAAAGATATAGATGCCTAGATGTATTTGTTTCAGGATAATTATTTATTTTCCACATGTATAAACGAATTTGACAAATACTTATCATTAATTTTTGACGTGTGCTAAGCAAGCAGAAAACCCACTTTTGGTACTATACATGTTATAAATAAGTAGGATTAATTTTTGGAATTTGGGGGTACTTGTCGGTATATTGCAAAACGATTATAAAATATCCTACATCATATCCAGTTGTCTTTGAAAAATCTGCCACTCTATTTTTAAGACGAGCTTTGTCACTTCAATGAAGTAAGTAGCAATCTATCATGAGATCTGAATTACTGGTTACCTACCTATCAGTCAACTTGACATACAAACATAAACATCTTGTATACTTTACATTCACTCTGCAACCCTACAGCGAATTTACAAACCTAAGAAGAACATTAATAGCTTATTACGTCCAAAATTTAACAAAATCTCTGCATCAGTCTTGCCGTGATTCTAGGTTTCAAAACGAAAATCGATATGTCAACTTAGTTTGCAAATCGAATTCTAAGGTAGAAACAACAAGTAAAGTATTTAATATTATGTCCGTTATATAACTTGACAATGACAAGTATGTCACATTTTTTGACATATAGGTGCTCAAAAAATCACGAAATGGTCAATTACATTCATTATTTGAACATTTGTTTTAATTGTACCTGCATTTATAATTAGTATAAAAAAAATCCTGATGAATTTTTTTTTATATTTCTGGTTTAGCCGGTTTTCATTTTTGGATACATAATCAAAAACTACAGTGTGATCAACAAGTTAGTACTGTTTGAGTTGACAATAGAATTAACCAATTTTGGTACAATTTTCTTGCGCTACCATTGTCAAACCTGATTCAAATGCTTAGCGCGATGCCACTTTTAAGCGCTCAGGAAATTTTGGTTATGGCTTATGGCATTTTAATAATAATAATAATCAATAATGAATTTTGACGTAAATTGAATGTCTCTGTCAACCATGTCAGTTTTGACAATAGGAAGTAAGATGAAGTAACAGGTCTACCAATTCTAAACAAAATTCACTGATATCAAATGAAGCAATATTTGTTGATCAGTTGAACACGCTGTACCTTAGTATATTGCGAAAAAGTTTCTGTAAACTGTAAAATTTATACATAGCTTCTTAGAAGTACCGCTTGACATCTTTAAATTTTTCTTTTGTGGTAGGTCAATATTTAAATTGACCCAATGAAACGAGAATGCGAATTATTGTTTTGTTCATGTCTTAATACAATACCGGGTGTCTGGAAAATGGCAGATTAACTCTTAAGTACCTTATTATAGAGGTTCGTGAGTCCCAAAAAGGGAATAAAAAAATTCTGTATGATGTACATTACGAAAAAAAACGTAATTTTATGAGAGTAAAATTGGCAACACTACACCACCTAATGCATGAATACCTCCGACTTACTTTCTGATTTCTTAGTAACGGTGGTCACTGAAATTCACCTTTTCCTTTTTTGTACAATAAGCATAACAACCACTAGTCATTAACCGTTGTGCATTATTATAAACAACAGCAAAAACAACAAAAGAAAAATCCATTAAAGCATAACTGACGAAGTACTAGAGAAGATGTTCAAAATTCCTGCCTTGTGCATATAAGTAAGCTCGCAATGTTTCCAAATTTTGATCATTTTGTGTAAAAGTTAGTCGTCAGTACTTAAAGCTAAGATTAAACTGATTTTTGCAAATGACATACTCTCTAAGAAAAGAGAGGGTGGGTGGGCGGGCAGAGCTAGTACCTGTTAAGAGTGATTTTGGCAAATGACATTTTCTCTAAGAAAATAGAGGGCGGGCGGGTGGGGCTAGTACCTGCTAAGATAAGACTGATTTTAGCAAATGACATACCCTCTAAGAAACGAGAGGGTGGGTGGGTGGGGCTACTAGCTGTCAAGATAAGATTAATTTTGGCTAATGATATACCCTCTAGGAAAAGAGAGGGTGAGTGGGGAGAGCTAGTACCTGTTAAGATTGATTTTGGCAAATGACATATTCTCTAAGAAAATAGAAGACGGGCGGGTGGGGCTAGTACCTGCTAAGATAAGACTGATTTCAGCAAATGACGTATCCTCTAAGAAAGTTAATTAAATTATTATAAGGAAATACACTAGATGTTCCAAAGCATTTTCAAATTCCTTCCAAATTTTTCAAAAAAAACGGGGTCCCAAATTAACTCAAGAGCAGGTCAGGTTAGAATTTTCCAAAAATGGAACACCAAAGTCTCCCAAAATCGTTTTAAGTAATTTACAAAAAAAATCTTTATGGGTTCCCAAAATAATACACCATAAGTAACACAAAAATCTCCCAAATTAACAGAAAAACATACTGGGTACTCAAGACTTTTTCAAATGTGATAAATTAAACTCTAAAAGCTCAAAATATTTTTTCAAGTCCATCCAGCAACCAGATTCCTTTAAATTTATCCGAAAATAAAACACCAGGCGACCTAACATTATTTGCGAAAATTTTAAACGTAGAGTTTTGAAAACTTTTTGATAAGTCAAACATTTTTAACTGTTTACTCGATTTTTACTGATTTGTACCTTCGCTTTATATCAGACAAACATTGTTGTTAATTGGAATGAATCAAATTATTACAAAAACAACACATTGTAACTGAAATGGTAATTGAACATGGTCAAGGGCGAAAAAAATATTAGCTAAAAGTTTTACTACTAGTTATCGTTATAATGAATGTGTTGTTTAGTTGTTAAACGTATCAAAAGAATCAATTTTAAAATCATCATAACTCCACCACAATGTGAGAAGGAATTTTTTCACTATTTTTCCCAGACTCACCAATTGATTGTTAAGAGCGTTGCGGAGAGTTAATTCACCATTTTCCAGGCACCCGGCGTAAACGAATACACAATTAACAAAGAAATATTTTAATCAGTTTTTATTTTTTGAAAGGTTGTTTTTAGGGGTCATTGTCCAACTAACTCCATGGACAAGCCGCCACTGATTATAACATTGAGTTGTTTTGTTGTGAAGCTATTTTTTAGAAGCTAAATATTTTGTTAGTAGCTATTTTGTCGGGAGTTATTTTGTTGGGGGCTATTTTGTCGGGGCGGTTTTGTTTTGGGTACCCCGACAAGTTATCCTGGGACAAAATATTTAGCTTTGACAAAATAGCTTCACAACAAAATAGTTCCGTCAAAACAAAAAATATGTACATGCACTATTTTTTATTAAACACGGTAATTTATTCTCATAAAATGACATATTGCGGGGTATTTGGTGGATTTTTTTAGAATGGCTTGTTTCTTCAATGGAAATTTTAGTTTGTTAATCTTTTTACAACATGAGTCCGAAGCTATTTATTAATTAAAAAGAATTCTTATCGAAAAATTGTATCGTATCTGCACAGCGTATCTACTTTCTAAATCAAAAGTGACTACTTTGAAAATGCTCAAAATACAAAAAATTGTTGGTTTATTCGCCATTTCGTTTTTCATAAAAAAAGTACACCTATAATTGTATGCATAAAAACATTACCACTTAATTATGACCTGACCTGCCCTGACCTGACCTCTCTATTGCCTCAAATAAAGAAATCTTAAACATTTGTGTGTATACATAAAAACCAAAAAGTACGTCGTTGAAACTGTTGTATTTTCTTAAACTAAAATTAATAATAATTTCCTTTTTTTTAAACCGGGGTATTTTAACTGGCCTCTTTTCTCTGGAGCGAATTTGTCGCTGAGCAATTTTGTCAAGGGGCTATTTTGTCGGGAACTATTTATAGTCGCTAGACAATTTTGTCGGGTCACGTGTCTAAAGACACAGAACCTTTGAAATCAACAATTTTTGGACATGGGTACATTTTCAGCTAAACTGGAAGTATAAAAGTAATGAAAATGTCATCTACAGAGACCGGACAAGAGCGGGTAATCTTCAAGTGGTCCATCGGTTCCAGCCTTAGCTGCATGTACGATTATAGTAACTAAATCTTAGTTAACGTTATGAATTATTGTTGTCTCAGAATGTTCGTCCATAAATTGTGTTTGTAATGCGATAATCGATGCGTTTGATATCTAATGTATACTATCTACGTCACTGGATACGAAGTAATTTAAGTGATTTGGAGTAAAACCAACCCTTTTTTGTACAGTACGTTTAGCCACCTGAAGGTTAATCGCTCCGATGGGAGGCTCAGGTGCATTATTCCAATAGCAGTTTTATGCATACAAAATTTCTAACATATCATTTTGCAAACAGCGGAAATTAATTGACCGTTCTGGAACTTTTTGTACACTCTGTATATGAGAACCGTTCCAATTTCAGGCACCATACACTCAAACACTGGCTGGGTTGAACGTTAAACATTCAGTTTTGGTACTTAGTAGAAACACTTATTAATTAATCTATTATATAAGTTTTTAAATTGAACCTCAGAAGTAATTTCCAAAATATTGTGTGGGTTAAAAGAATTTAAAACTTATGTGGAAGAAGCTTCAATAGGATATTCAGTCATGAAGTCGTAATGGTTAGTAACCCCAGAAATAAATGAGTACGAATATCAAATTGGGTTAACTGGTATAAATGAATAAGTGACGAATAAGTAGGAACAGCGGAGAAAACACTTTTAGATATTAATGCGTCAATTGACTAAACCTGACGCAATATCGAAAAATACATAACTCGCTTTTATTGTTCTAATTCAAGTCATCAATTGTTTAAGTTAAATAAGTTCCATTGTCAATCATTCCAAACAATGAAAAAAAATTGAATGTTATGTTGTTTTATTCTAAATACCTAGTTTATGGAGTCTGCTAATTAAAAGTTATGAGAGAAAAAAATGTCTAATTCACATAAAATGTATTTTTGTCTTAATTAAACGAATACTTCTAGCTGCAATAGGTAGTCAGAATGAATCTTTCACTATCAATTAATATGACAGACGATAATAATAATTAAGACGATTAATAGGTTATTTAAACTTTTTTTTCTGTATGCATTCGTTTGCCTAGTTCACTGTTTCTTTGTATACTTGTATACTCCAAAACAGCTCGAACATACTAAATGTTTTTCTAATAAAACAAACTGCAAGGAGCACCAACCTGCTCGAGAAGCCGCAACTTCCTACGCTGAGTGTGCTCCTCGAGCCGGTCCACGTACTCCCTCAACTCCTCAATCTCCTCCTTCACTTGCTGTACAGTGTCCAGCTCGTGCTTGATGGCTACCATGTCCCTCTTGACTTCCGATACTTCCGACTGGCAAGATTCCACCGACTTGGTGAGTTCTTGCAGTTGCGACCTGATCTCACAAAGAGCGACCGTCGTCTCCAGGTGTCGATCTCCACGTTGGAGCTCGTCCAGTTTGGCGCTCAAGTTCATACTCATCACGCTCACCTGTTTTTGCAGACTGCGGCATAACAGTACGTGGAAAAGAAGTAAAACGTGTCATTAATTTGAACGGTGAGAAACACTCAACGACAAATCTCATGCTAGGTGCTGATTCGACAATCATGCATGGATCCAAGTAACGGTGGTCAACGACATGATGCGGGTCTTCTAGTCGACAGAAATGATTTTTTTTCACATAGAATACACCATGTCTTGGGATTTGGTTGGTCGAGTTACAATATTACTTTGGATTGGAGTGTCGATACGAGGTGTCGGTGGCATGCAGTGGTCGTGCTTCGAATTGTCAACACTTACTACTAGGTCGTACGTAACGTCAACATACCCATAACTGTCTTTGGTTTTATAGTATGGAGAATGACAATGATGGCATGCACAAATGGTTTGCTTGTCATGATGTCATCAGGTGACCAAGCCACAGAAACGAACACAGATCATGCAAAAGCAAGCACCTACTGCAAAAGCTGTATACCTGGGAGGCAAGGATACCATGGCTGTGTTCCAAACTACAGTGGACACCTCCCCAGGTATCCTTTAACCCTCCGATAATCCCCTTCACTTCTTCTAGAAACTAATCTACACGCGGTGTTCGACTGCGACGCGGCATCTCGACGGCGTTTGACAATCTTCCACCTATAGTTTGGAAACACAGCCCATCAGGGAGCGTGCTCTTAACTTAATTTAGTGCACTAACACATTGCTACTGACCACAGATGATAGCAAAGGTCTAAGTACTTGCCAGGAAGATCAAAATTTTGACCAAGCAACAATTCGGTTCTACTCCAATGACCAGATTTGTTCTTGGATTAAGCGACTGTATACGTCTGGATGTAGAACTTCATCCGTTTGAGTTTGAAGTTGATTTCGAGATGAGAATCGTCAAGACAAAAAATCGGCTGAAAAGCATTCATTATTCATGATGAGTCGGAAGGTTGTATGAAAAAATTTTGGGGCTTGAGATTGATTCTTCGTTCATGTGCATTCCAGGGGTTCTATGATTACACACCTAGAGATCAAAATCATACAAGATGTGTTGATATGTTTTAATGTGGCTTATGATATCTGTGCAATCGACTGTCATAATAAACGATGTAGTTTAGAGGTGATCAGTTGTGCACGTGTGGAAGGAACGAAATATATACATACGTACATAAAATACAGCCGTTCTTAAATAGTTTTGTCTATTAGATCTTTTTCAACATATATTATTTTCACAAAATTGTTTATCATCTTTTATTCATTTATTCATATCAACTTTTTTTTGGTAGCCACTTTCTTTAGAAGTCTGAATGTTAGTATAAAAATAAATAAAAAAATTAAAACAGATTTAGTAATGAAAGTAATTATTATATTACTATTCATAGTTATAATTTTGGCTCTCAACCAAAATTACGTTCATTTAATTAAGGTTTCTTTTATAATATTTACTATAGTTTGCCGATACCACGTAATTCTCTGGATATCTTGAATATTCAGCCGATAATTTAACATTAGATTGTTAAAATTTTGATTTTTAGTATAGGTTTTAAAGTGTTTTTTCTAAAACAATCAATGGGTTTCATTCTAAGACAAATTTGTAAATGGTAATGAGCACAGATCTAAATTACAATATATAACAGATAAGAAGTTACAAGATTTTGCATATAAGAAGGCCATTTCTAGTAGTACATAAATATAGATAAATGTTGCTTTAAAAAATCTAGTATATTGAATTAGTGTTTTAGGTTATATTTTTGTTACTTTTTAGGGAAGACTGGGACTTCACAAAACCTTTAGTGTCAATATTTTATTAAATAAAATGGTGTTACTTGATATTAATATGTTAACAGCTTGACATATAAATGAGAATTAAAGCCCAGTCTTCGTTTGATTACACAATTTAGATCAATTTTAAAACTTTAATAAGATTAGTTTTATCTTGGCGAAATTCATTGGTAGTCACCAAGTTTTTTGAAATTTGCATATAATTGCATAAAACTTTTACAACAGTTTTAAAATATCTCTGAATGAAATATTAAGTTTTAAACAGATGACAGACAGCACTTAGCTGTTAGTTACAAAGAGATTTTTTGACTTATCCGTTTAAGAAGAAATTTGCATGAAATCCTAATTGGAATCTTTTACGAGCTTAAAATGTCTCTAAATGAAATAAAAAGCTTTAGAATGGGTGACTGATTAAATAATTAAACCAAGTGTCATTTTTTTGTACAGGCTATAGTTTGAAACTATATGGATTATGTCTGGGTAAAGTAGGCGATGTTCAAACTGTCAAATTGTTATCTCGATTCCACGGAACGTCTTGACTTTTTGACAACTTTTGTTTAATACGAATAAGAGATCTGTCACTAGATTTTCTAAGCCAACTTTATAAACGATAATTTATAGTCACCTTGTATATATTAGTTATATTGAAGAATCAATTATAATAAATCAATTAATTCGAAAATAAATTTAATTAAACTTTGCTGAAAAAAATTGTGTGTGCTCTAGACAACATTTTTACTGGAAACATTTTTGTAAAGTTGGAAAATAGGGCAGGGTGCCAAGGGTGTTTTTAGTTGAAGCTGTCCAAAGCACCTCTATCTTATTGGACAGATGGAAAATTAAAGAAAAAGTTGTAGAAACCTAGAATCGTTTTTTTTTTAGTGTTACACCCTCACAGAATTTTATGTTTTAACTGGTTCTCTTTAATCGCAGTTATTTTTTTCTAATGTTATTAAATTTTAAGTTTTTGTATCGCGTGCATTTTTATTTAAATGGAATGAAATAAAACAATCAGATTCAGTAAGATGCAGGTTTACTAAAAAATTGTTCAGAATTTAAGATTACGACCTTTGACATCTAGTAGGCTATCGATGTGTAAAACCAGTTGGTACTTTCTGCGCATCACTGTGCACAGCTTAACCTAAAATTATAATACGTTAAATGTCAAAGGGCAAAGTAGCCAAACTTTGACATCAAACGTCAAATTTCAAAGTGAACTTGCAAACAAACTGCATGACCTACTAAATATCAGACAATAATGGAAACCCTGTATTAAGAAAATGCATACGACGTTGTATTTGTTGATAGAAAAAAGTTGTTGGATTTTCTAGAGGTATTCAAGGAAAATTATATTGTTCAAAAGTTAACAGCACATTGTGAAAAATATGGAAAAATACGAAACAATCTTTTTAATTTATTTAGTTTTAAGAATAAAATATAGTTACATGAGAAAACACAATAACAATAGACAATTAATCGTAATAAATCAACTGTAGGGAATTAATTGCTGTTAAAATAGTGCACGAAAGATTTTGGAACAGCTTGCATATGTTTAAAAAATGTTTAGATTTTAGATCAATGCTTAGAATGAATTGAAACATTGCTTAGAAATGCACATTCTAAATAAGGTAAAGCAATAAGTGTAAAAGTTAAAGATTTGTGAAAAAGAATATTTAAGTTAAACTTGAATTATATCTGCACGATGATTTAAATGCATATTTCATTTAAGCTACAATTACGTAGTTTTATTAGTTTATTTTTTTAGTGCTTCATGCATAATAATGCCGTAGCGTGAATGGTGTATAGTAATTAATATAATTTTTATTACTGCTGGATACGATCTGAAAATTACATATTTTATTTTCGACCGTACAGTATCAGGATAAATGTAATTTTATTAAAGGTGGAAACTGTAATAAAAACAATTGAATGAGTTACGCACAAATAAAGCTATCTCCTGTGGTCAGTTAATTTGAAAATATTGTTTCGACCATACACGTAATATTAGTGTGGGTCAAGAAACAACACACAAACAATGGCGATGATCAAAATTATGAGATGATGTTGGTTTATTTAGGTATAGAAGAAAGAAAAACTAACACAACAAAAATTTATAACTGTGTTTATTAAAGAAAACGTTGTACAAAATAAAAATATATAACTCAAAATGGAAGTCTGTTTGATATCGATTAAGTGAAGATCTGGAGTAGTTGCATTTACATAAAGGAAAGGGACTTAAGTACGTTCCATCTGCATTGCCTGTTTGTTTTTTCATGACTGAATAAGAGTAAAGATCTTTAATTAAGTAGCAATAATCGACCAGAATGAAACGTTTGTTTTGTTGACATAGTCGTCTTTTATTATTCCGGAAGTAAAATTTTAATTGACACATAATTACATACATGTAAATTAAACAATGAGACGGCATGAATAAGTGAGTATTATCCATTCACGATTTGTCTGGGTCAAGGCTGGATTTAAAAACTTGACGTTGTTGCTTATGTAAACGTTTTCCCAGTGTAAATTTAAGGTAATTTTTGTTTAAGGTTATCTTGTACGTTTTGTAAAAGATAGTATATTTATTCAATTACGCAAAGTCAGCGGTTGCGTTTATTTAAGATTTTTTCGGTCACTGAATAGGTCAGGCTTATAAACACAAAAATCCCTAATTTATTTCTTTAACTATATCTTATTAATTCACATAATATAAATTTACTTACCACTTTACAAAATGTTTGAAATAAAGTGGATGTTTCTACGATCAAATTTGAGGGTTATAGAACGTACTTGACTTCAAAACTACTACCTGTATAGGAAATAACTTGCAGAAAATTATAAACTTATTTGTAGCGCTTCAGATTTCTTCGATAATAAAGACAACTTACGTTTCTTAACTTTCTTATTGCTGTATTGTGTAAACAATAATCCCTTCTAAAGAGCTAAAACGAGCTTATTTCAATTTTAAATTGATATTTAAGTGCCAAAAAGTGCAGTTCAATTAATTCCGAATTTTCTGTGTTTATTTACTCTCCATATATTTACATTTAATATGGCAGCCAGATCGTGAACGGATATTAACTTTCAGAGTGATTTTGGTAAAATACATTTTATACCTAGCAGTACCAAAAAACCTTGACGCAATTCGAAATATGTGTACATTCTCGTGTCAATATCGGTGTCGGTGTAAGTACACACCTCAACAAACGACAACACACAAAATAATTCAAAGTCCGCGTTATTTTCAATATTGTTTGCACACCTTTCCTTTATGTTTCCATTTGGCAGTAGTCGAGTTGATTCGGTCTGAGCAGGTTAAAAAAAAACAGTAAGGAAAAGAAGGAAGAAGAACCGAATGATGGAACGTGTGGGTAAAAAGTAGATAAGTAGTATGTAGATGTGATGGTGCGTGTATGCGTTGGGGTGTACCTAATAAGCAGCTCTCTGAGAGTGGCTTCATCGTCCTCTTGTATTTCTTTCTTCGTCTCATCACGCGCTGTTCGCGGGCGCGTCGGGGTGTGCGCAGGGCGGCCGCGGGCGGTCAGCTTGAGCGTCTCCCTTGCTTCGGACTCCGCATCGGAGCCCAGATCATGTTCCTCCACCTCGACTACCTCCGCTGAAACTGAAAACGACGCCATCATTATGCAACTCATGCACGCAGACATGCACAAACTGAGACACTTCCGAATTTTCGTACGGATTAATCGGTTTCAGGCGCACGGTATGATGGAATGTTTGAAGAATATGAGATTTTATTTGGTTAAGTTTGTGTGTGAAGCGCTGCTAGTCAAGTTCAAGGCGAGCGGGAGGGGTTTAATCAAGATGGCACTGACAAGGCGTTGAAGTATGCAAGAGGGAGCAGATGGTGACCTTGGTTGCATATTCATGAATAATTGCATATTTATAGTAATTATTTTTACTAAGTTGAGGCTAATCAAAATTAGTGTGAGTTCAGTCAGTCAAGTTCAATGCGAGCAGGGGAGTTTAATCAAGATGACACTGTCATGACGTTAAAATATGCAAGAGGAATTAGATGGCGACCTTGGTTGCATACTCATGATTATGTTTATCTCGAGTAGGGGGTAATACAAAATTAGTAAGGTTATTGTCGCATCTATAACGACGCGTCCAGAGTTCGAACACGTGACCAATGCTTTAACAAAAAATAAGACAAAGTAAAATAGGACGCAAAATGAATCAAGAAGTGTACAAAGTTGGCTCTTTTGGTGGAGCACATGGAAACGAAAGAGGACAGAAATTAATGAATTTCTGGGAGAACGAAGAGCTGGTTGCTATAAACTCATTTTTCAACAAAAAGAATCTCGGAGAAAGTCGACATGAGTAAGCCCTAATGGATTAACTAAGAAAGCAATAGATTTTATAATGGGCCAGATAAAAACGCAGTGGGAGACGCTATACAACTGAATGTATTTTTAAATGGTGTGATCAGCATTAAGTGAGGGTAAAAATAATATAAAACTAAAAATAGAATGCACTTAATGAGTCACGAGATTAAACATGGAAATGTTTTGTTTTAATTGCTTTAATAAATAGCTATTCATGTAAATATTACAAAAATGTTAATAAAACATGGAAGTGAAGCAAGTTTCAATTCGATAGATCGGATTAGAGTAGATCAAATTCACAATAAATTAGTTCACGTCTTGAAGGAAACAGCAAAATTCTTACTAAGGTGTATTAAAAATAAAGGGCAAAGGTTAACAGTAGAAACAAGAAAGTTTACTGTAAACAGGAGCGAATTTTATTATGAAGAAAAAAGACATAAAACCATAAAAAAATTAAAGAAAGAAGAAACGAAAAACATGACGAACATGTAAAAGAGTTATAGACGGAAAAAAGTGAAATTATTAAGTCTCGAAAAAATATATCTCCAGACATTCAGTTAAAATAAGTAATGAGAGGAATCAAAAGATTAAATACAAGGAAATCATGTAGGATTAGTGCAATCACTTTCAACTCTACAAGCAACCACTTTTTGCTTCCAGAACCTTGGCTACTCAAATGTTTTCTCGACGATTCATGACTCCTAACTACCAAAAAGTAGGTCTCGCGTTTTCGTCTGTCGGTCTGTTTGTCGTCCTTATTTTGTGCCTATATTAGAACTATCGTGTAGCCGATTTAACTTTTATAAAATAACATACTCTTGTACTTGTAGTTTATGAATCCGCCTTGATTTGTTGTATAACAAACTTTTATAAGCGGCCATGCCGACCTCGGAGTTGGAATACGAAAATTATTATCTATATTTTTTGTACATATAGAGATTATCATTATCACAAATAAAATGCCACAAAATCAAATTGTACAATTTTTCAAAAAAGCGGAGAAGTTCTGTCGAAATAATCTTCGACCAATTTTTTAGAGATATAAAATTTGCGGGTTTTGTTCTTATGATAAACCCTTCATGTGAAAATTAAAGTAGGGGTGGATTATTAAATTACAGGACCATGTCATACGTTTCGAAATTATTTCCAAAAACCAAGACGTTTAAGGAAAAAATTTGATCGGATTAAGAAACTATGACTGTAGAAGCTATTTTTTATAAAACTGAAACAGAATTAACACAGCAAAATTTTGACATTGCGTCATGAAATTTTTGGAGGGAATGATTTATGTAGCAGATAGACAGAGAGACAGACGACAGATAGACGACAGACAGACGGAATCACTAGTTTACACTCACACGTAACAAACTTTAAGAAACAGAAACAACCGAGCGCGCTTAGATAAGAATATATTTTAGTTGAGATGTTGAAAAATTACGGAGAATTATACAACCGTATGCATTAACATAGAATAAAACAACGCAAGACAATTTTATATCGAAATATTTAAAGTGGAAATAGAAGGGCATTAAATTGCAGAATGACCGTTTAAATAAAACTTGCCCACGAAATCGAGAAAAAAACAGAAGAAGTATGATTTAAAATAAACACTGGCAAGATAAGAGCGAAACATAGACCACATGCAAGAGTGTATTTTTTTGGGTGCTGGGTTCAACAGTTTTTTTTGACAATAATTATATCTTAAAAAATTGGTCTAGGGTGATTTAGAGAGAATTTCCCTCGTCTCTTAAAAACAATCAAACAAATCTAGGTTTTTCGAAAAATTATAATTTGATTTTGGATTTTTTATTTATTTTATGATAAACCATCTAAAAAATATAGATAATATATATATCATATTCAAAAAAAGACCCGGCGCCTCGCAAAAATTGTAAAATAATTGTGATAAAAATCCCAGGAGGAGGATTCATAAACCACAGGTACAAGAGTATATCATTTCTTAAAATTTAGATAACCTTAACTATGTAATGTAATGAGCGGACATCATCAAATTGTTGGCGGGGATAATTAGACAAATTTTGATTAGCGTTATACCATTTATAACATTACTCCGAAAATAAGTACATACAAAATTTGAGGACAACCGTTAGTTTTAGAGATTATCTATCTATTAAAAATCGACACAGACGATGGACAGACGGAAACGAGAGACTTATTTTTTCGTACTCTAGGGGACATGACACATCGCCAAAACATGAAAGTAGCGAGTTCTCCGATGAACACTATTACAATACTGTCTTCACTTATGCGCGAGAAGTAAACTTTGATTCGGTAAACACTACACTACACTCAACATGGATTCATAAGTAACAAGCGCAGGAATACGTTATTTTATAAAATTTAAATAGTCCTAACATCTATTTGGTAGAATTGTAAGGTGATATGATCCATTTTTTTTTTGGGATGGGAAGTATAAACGGATAAATTTTGATTAACGATTTATTATGCATCAGATAACTTTACAGGTTTGCAAGATTTCAGAGCATTCGGTTTTGCTATTTCAAAGTTACATTATAAAATGTTGTTATATAATTTTCATTTTTTCCCATAAATTTTGATCTCTAGGGTAAAAACTCAATACGCATTCGTAAATCCCAAGTGCATGAGTATGTTATTTCATAAAATTCAGATAAAATTCACTGTGTAAAATTTGGAGATAACGTCATCAAATTCTTAAAGAGAAATGAATTTGGTTAGCATTTCGCTATCTACACCAATCCAGTAGTTTCGGAGATTATCCATCTAATAAAAACCGACACAGACGACAGACGGCAGACAGGCGGTAATGGGATTCCCATGTTTTCGTAATGTTGGGGTCATAAAATGTCGAAAAAACATAGAAGTAGCAGTTCGCCCCATATTATTTCCTATAAGTGATATAAAAATGGATTGAAAATTGAAAGCCTTTTTTTTTTTAAATAGGGAGTCCGATGGAGTGCTTGTGTAGCGTTTGCGTATGTAACACAGGATTTTTATAAATTATTTTTGGCTGAGAAATTTTGAGCGTAAAGTTCAGCCGGGGTCAATCAGACTTTCCAGTAAATTTCGTAACGAACAACCATCAAAGTTTTATTATTCAGAGACATATTTTATAAATTTTACAACGCTTTTTAACCATAATCTTTTCGAGATGAATCGTAAAATTGCACCAAACCTAATTCTTTTCCCTCAAGTAAAGGGTCGTTAAGAAAAATCGAAGATGGAGCTGCTTTTCCTTCACTATTGTTAAATACACATTTTCTTATAATTTATAAATTCGTTTTCAGAAATTGTATTACTGTATCATTTAGATAAAAGTAGACAAGTTTAAGAGAATATGATGATTGCAAATAAAATTTGTTGAAAAATGCATGGATAAAGGTAAACAAATTATTAAATCGTTTTGAAGGAAAAGAGAGCGTTAAAAATGGTGGATGCGCCGGGATAAATTGTTAACAAATTTTAATTCTTTGTTAGTTAAGACATCAATATGGGGGAAAAGCCATAGTTTTCTCCCCTCTCCTCTTTAATATCGACTGGAGTGGTGTTTACATGATTGCGACATATAAATAATATTTTAGACTATATTGGTGTATGTGCATCATATTTCGGAGATGTTCGACGTTAATAAACTGCTCGTTGGTTTCTGTTTTAAATCACAGAAAAGTTACGACCTTTAACTCACAAGTGAGTTATAAATTTTTATCTCACTAGTGGGTTATAAATCATTTTGTTTGTTTAAAGTCATCAGATGTTGTTTTTATTAGGTGTTGACTGAAAAAAATATTCATAGATAATCTTGACGCTACCCCGGTGCGGGATAACAAAGAAAGAAAACAACAATGTGGCTCGTAAAGCTGGAATTGTTTTAATTTTCCGATGGAATTTGAAACATGGCAAAAAATGTTACGAGACCCATGGCCCCTCGCCTACTATGCGGAATGAGCAATAAACGCGATTCCCACGGCGACGGCGCTAATGCTTATCGGATGGTAGATAACAGTGTGCACCTGGGTTCGATTCCCGGAGGCCCCGCTCGCCGACTGATTAATGGAGCCAAGTTTCTAGACCACCGTAATGATAATTAATATATAAAGTTCGGGGGTCAGTTATGGGCAGCACTTGGCGAAGGGGAGGTTACTTACCGCAGTCGCTTGTTACCGACCCAAATCCGATACCGGTAGCAAATATTGGAACTAACACTTAATCGGAACAGACTGCCGACCGCACCGCCAATAATAAAACCCTAATCGAGATTAAACGTCAAAAAAGAGGA